TACTCCCACCCCAGAGCACATATAGGCCGCCCATGGAAAGCAAGCTGATTAAATACCAGTTCATATAAAACAAGTGTCCCTGATAAAAAGGTCAATCTTAATTGAGCATTTTGCTATGACCCCAAGTGTCCTATGATCTTTTTTTAAAAATCAATTTCCTCTAAAAGATGGGAAGGTTTTGGTAGAATACCTATTTCAAACTGAGTTTATTCTCTCTCTCTCTCTCTCTCTCTCTCTTTCTCTCTCTCTCTCTCACACACACACACACACCCACACACCCCACAGCCATCTGGTCTCTCTACATTATTTATTAACCACATTTCATCCATGATCATGTTTACCTAGCTCTTCAGATTAGCATCAGTACCCTAGGGACTTCTACCATTGCATTTTTATGATCCTTATATTTCCTGGTTCCCTCTCCCACTCTTCCATCAAGATATCAAAGAAGAGATTATAGGAATGAGGCTTTAAGGTTAGATATAATTGTTCATTTTTATGAGCACAATTTAAATTCTATAGATTTCGGGGAGGGGGAAGAAATTCTATGCACCTCAACTTAAAGTTTTAATATCAAACAGCTTGAATGGTGTTCGCAAGAATGCTTCTACTTCTAGCACAGAAATGGCAAAGGGCTGTGTTGTCACTTTATAATCCTAATGATTGTTAATGCATATTAAAAAATGAATATTGAAATATGACTCAGTGCAGTGTAGTGGAAAGATCACCAGAGTCAGGATAAGGCGTGCTGGGATCCAGCCCTGGTCTGTCCTTTTATTAGCTGTGGAGCCTTGCACAAGCCGTGGAATCTCTCGGGTTTCCGTTTCCAGATTCCTAAATTGGCGATAACATCACCACGATAACATCACCTCCAAGCCTCCCCGGCTGTTGTGAAAGGGAGGCGGAAAGCTGCCACTGGTCCTCTGAGAGGACTCCTCGCTGAGCTGGAGCAAGCCAACTTGGGTCTTGACACTTCTGACCATCCTTCCCACACGTGACATCCTGTGATGAGTTCTCCTGGTCAAATCTTTAGCACCTCTTGAGATTTCTGCTTTGCCTATTGTTTCTTAAGTCAGTATGCTTTGAAAGATCTTAGATCACCTTGGATTCAGCTCCTCTCCACGCCCTCACTCCCCACCCAGTGAACCCTTGATAAATTACAAATTATTATTGCTTTCAAATCTTACGTGGCCTGCTGTCTTCCTTCACCCACATTTCTGTTGTTTGTTTCCCTGGGTGGGGGGTTATATGTCAATCATTGTGATCCGTTTCCCCTTTCTCACTCCACTTTCCCCCTACCCTCCTGCTATCACTACTCTCATTATTGGTTCTGAAGGGTTTATCTATCCTGGATTCTGTGTGTTGAGAGCTCTTACCTGTATCAGTGTACATGCTCCAGCCTAGCCCAGTTTGTAAGGCAGAACTGGGGTCATGATAGTTGGGGTGAGGGGTGGGGAAGCACTAAAAACTCGAGAAATGTTGTATGCTTCATTGTTACTATACTGTGCCCTGGCTGGCTCATCCCTTGCTTGTGAACAAACATCTTTTGGTGACAAACACACACTGTAACAATGCAAGACAAAGCATCATGAAGAAAAGAAGAGTTTCCTGTCTTCACAGAGTGGTCTTCTACACTGTGAACACAGCGTGGCCCTCACTCCCAGTGGGGGATGTTCCCAGCATGTTATTATGCTGCCTACACAGTACTCAACTTCCCCCACCGAGTCCACAATCACCCTGTCAGCTAATATTCACTCTTCTTTCGGCCACAGACCAAGGGCTTAGGTATTACTCTCTCAGGAACATCCACCTTGTCATGCCCCTACCATTTACTGGGTGTTCAAAGGATCATCCAGAAGACAGAAAGGTAATGCTATCACGGGTGATTAAAGCACCATAGACTGCCAGACTAACAAACAAGTTATCTTGAAAGAAGCACAGCCAGAACGGTCCTTGGAAGTGATGGTGGCAGGGCTTTGCTTCACGTACTTTGATGTGTTATCAGGAGAGACCTGATAAGGGCATCAAGCTTGGTAAAACACCGAAAGACCCTCCAAGAGATGGATTGACACAGTAGCTACAACAATGGACTCAAACATAACGAATCCTATAGTAACCACATGTATAAGGAAACACTGCCCTGTGTTCGCCATCCTCACAATTGTTCCTATGCTTGAGTTCATTGCTTCAGTCACGGTGTCAATCCATGTTGTTGAGGGCCTTCCTCTTTTCCTTGTCCCTCTGCTTTACCAAGCATGGTGTCCTTCTCCAGGATCTGATCTCTCCTGACAACATATCCAATGTGTGTCAGACAAAGTTTTGCCATCCTTGGCTCTTAGGAGCACTCTGATCATACTTCTTCCAAGCAGGCTTGTTTGTTCTTCTGGCGGCTGTGGTACTCTCACTGGTCTTCTCCAGCACTGCAACTCAAACGCATCGCTTCTTCTTCAGTCTTCCTTATTCCACGTCCAGCTTTCACATGCATATGAGGCGATTGCAAATACCACGACTTACATGATAATAAAAAAGTCTGAAATGGTAGATTTGGAAAACCTAGTCTGAAGTTCTCATGCATAAAATCCCTTTCCAAATCCTAGAATGAAAGGAATGAAATACCAAGGTGACTCCTCTGGGCCCAGATGACCTTCAAAGCATTTTCTAGGTCAATAGCATAGAAACAGCCAGAGTTAGATACTCTTTTCAAATTCAAAACCATCTAACAGAGATGTGAACTTAACTTTTTAAAGCCCTAGATGCTTAATGACTGAGACACATCCAGGGCACCAGCGATGGTGGAAGGTAGTAGTGAGTTCTTGGTTGATCTGGAAAATTTGAAGGGCAAATGAACATGTGTAGCAAAATGCATTAGACAACTAAGGGGTGAAAAATGGAAATCTGTTTTACGCACCTTATGAAAACTGACTACATACAAAACAATCAAAACGCTGACCAAAGGCTTTTTGGAGGTGAAGAGTCTTTGTTAGGAATTGCAAGGTGATTCCTCGGGCTCTTTTAGTTACTTTTGGAATATACAGACTCCAGTTGGGATTACATTGGGCATCCCTAAGTATTCATAGATAAGAAGGCCTTCAAAAAGTTCATGGGAAATTCCATTGTCTTTGAATTCTATTTTTTGCCGAACTTTTTGAAGTTCCCTTATATGTGTTGCATGTCTCCATCATGACGAAGAAGCTGGTCCTCTGGACAAGTTGCTCACTCAGAAGGTTCAATGGAAAAGTAGAGGCTCACTGAAAAGGCGAACTACAGATCTTAACAGAATAAGTAATGCAAGAGGAAATGCTGCACGTTCCACCCAAGGACTAATTCACTGATCAGAGTTCTGAAAGCTGCGCTCTGCTCCACACACTGCAGTAGACACGAGGGATACAGAAATGACATGACTTTTTATTATTAAAAGATCATTTTATTGGGGGCTCTTATAATGATCAATTATACCAAACATATTTGTACATATGTTGCCATCATTATTTTCTAAACATTTACTTTCTAGTAAGCCTTTAGTATCAACTCCTCTTTTTTCCCTCCCTTCCCCCACATCCTTGTGACCCTTGGTAAATTATAAATTATTATTATTTTCATATCTTACCCAACCACTGTCTCCCTTGCCCCATGGTTTCTGTTGTTCATCACCCCCTAGGGTGGGGTGGTGGTGGTGATTGTGTCGATCACTTCAATTGGCTCCTTCTTCCTCCCTTTCTCTCCCCCACCTTCCCCCAACCCTCCTGGTATCACTACTCCCATTGCTGTTCCTAGATTCCATGTGTCCTGATATCTTACTTCTTATCTGTACTTGTGCACATGCTCCAGTCTAGCTCAAAGTGAAAGGCAGGACTTGGGTCATGATAGTGGGAGGATGAAGAAACATCAAAGAACCAGCGAAATATTGGTGCTATATTGCACCCAGGTTGACTCATCCCTCCCTTGTGACCCTTCTGTGAGGGGATATCCCATTGTCTACAGATGGACTTTGGGTCTCCTGTCACAAACCCCCTTCATCCTCAACAATATATTGTTTGTTTGTTTGTTTGTTTTTTCAATTTGTTTGTTTGTTTGTTTGGGGTCTTCTGATGCCTGCTACCCAATCCCATTGACACCTCATGATCCACCTCACGATCGCACAGGCTGGTGTGCTTCTTCCATGTGGGCTTGTTGCTTCTCTGCTAGATGGCCGCTTCTTTAACTTCAAGCCTTTAAGACCCCAGACACTGTATCTTTTGATAGCCGGGCACCATCAGCTTTCTTCACCCCATTTGCTTATGCACCCATTTTGTCTTCAGCAATTGTGCTCGGAGGGTGAGCATCACAGAACGTCAGATTGTTAGAACAAAGTGTTCTTGCATTGAGGGAGGGCATGAGCAGAGAGACCCGAAGTCCATTCACTGCCTCAGTGTATTGCCCTATAAATATATGTACATAGGCCAATACCTCTGTTTTTATGAATTAATGTATTTACATATGTACACACCTATACTTTTACCTCTATCCATAGCTTTACTTCCTAGAGCTTTCCTCCATCTCCTTTTACCTTCCTCCTGCTCCACCATCACACTCGCCCTTCCTCTGCCTCTTAGTAATTCCTCTCAGCTAGAATGCTGTTGCTCCAACACCCCCAGGATCTCTATGTTCTCCTCATTGTTGGTTTTAATTTCCTAGTTGTTAGCCTGTCTATGGTGTTTTTACTCACTGCCTCCTCTCCCCCCAAGACCCTCCAGAACCATCAATCCCATTGCTTTCTCATCAAGCTTGCTTCCCATGCCTATCTTTTTTTTTCCTTCTTTTTTTGGCCAGGGGGACAGAAAAGCTCATCAGACACCACGTGGAGCTCACGGCAAGGGAGGAAGCACTGTGTCCGGAGACCCTCCGCCCTTTGATGGTACCCATGCTGTTCTCAGCTGACTAAGCAAGATTAATTGAAAACGAGGCTTAGTGTTCACAAGGATGGTCTAATAGGTCTCTGTCCAGGCCAGACCCCCAGCCCACACTGTGCAACCCGCTTCAGTGCCAGAAGCCTAAAGGCTATGAGGCAAGGTAATGGTTCAGGGCTACAGTTTGCTCTGGCATGGGACACAACGAGAGGCCCATGGGGCTGAACCTGCCATAAATCCAAGATCATGCACCCCATGCCTATCTTATATAAGTAGGCAAACCAACAATAACAGAGGCCAAACAAAAGATTAAATAAACAGAGAAAACAAAATAAAGATAACTAGCAAAACAAAAACATACATAATTCCAAGTCTGTCTGCTGAGCTTTATGACCAGTGGGGAGATAGACACTAGACTTTAAGGGCAGAAACAGTTAACAAATGAAGCTACTAACCCAGAGGTTGTCAGTTTGAATCCACCCAGAGTAGGCTTACAAGAAAGAGGTGGCCATCAAATTCTGGAAAATCAGCCCCAGAAAACTCTAACTGGTTTTACTGTGAAACACATGGGCATCAGCATCAACAACTTGATGACAAGTGGACAGAAGGAACTTTTAAAGAGCTGATGTTCTTGTAGCAAGGCTGATACAGAGACAATGCAAGAAAGTATTATAGGACTTGTGATAGAGATACAGAAATTAAGATAAAACAAGGCAAAGGAGAACGACTTCACTTAAGAGAAGGTTTCGCTCTGAAAGAACACATTCCGGCCACTAAAAAGTGAGGTAAGTAGATAAATGACAAAATTTCAAGATGGCTCAGCTCCCTGGTTGGTGTAGTGGTTATAAATGGCGCTGTGACCCGCAGTCTGAAGCCACCAGGATCTCTATGGGAGAAAAACCTAAACACCAAACTCACTGCCATCAAGTGCATTCTGACTCTTGGCCACGCTACAGGGGCAGGGCAGAACTGGGGTGTCGAAAGTCTCATCTTTCTCCCTCGGAGCAACCGGCAGTTTTGAACTGCTGGCCTTGCAGTTGGCAGTTGGCAGCCCAGTGTGTAACCACTAGGCCACCAGGGCTCCACTGAGGGTGAAGGACAGGCTTTCTACTCTCATAATGAGTTGCAGTCTCAGAAACTCAAAGGGACAGTTCTACCCTGTCCTATAGGGTCACTATGAAGCAGCATCAACTGACGGCAGTGAGTTCGGTTCGGTTGTGGTTTTGTTAGTGATCAAAGAAGGACGACTAACAGAAGTCTGGATGTTTGGGAGCTACGCTAGTGCCCAAAAGAATAGGTTTCCTATAGATAAGAAATAGATGCTTAGCCATCAGCTTCTGAAGTCACTGGTTGTGGGTTTGCTGGGTTTGTTTCTGTGGAGGTTGTTCTGTTCGCAGCTCAGTGTGCCCTTCGCTATTAGGCTGAGGACTTTCAAAAGTACGGAGGGTGAGCAAGGGTTCAATTTATACATTTTACTTCGAGACTTCCTGGTGGATTAAGAAAGAAAAATGGTTGGGTGTTATACCTCAGTGAGATGCAATATTTTTGTGCTTGTGATAAACTATGAGCTGAATAACTCTCATGATGACACAGCATGTCAGAGAACCTGGGGCCATAAAGAATGGACAGGAAGATGGCCAGTATCCAAAGGCTTCCTGGGACCAGGGATGGAACAGCTCAAATCTACATTTTTATCAGCAAAACATAAAAACACCACATTTCCTGGAGTCTGACAATTTATCTTGTTACTCCTTTGTCAGAAATTGTTCCAAATGCAGAGACAACCACTCAGTGGTCACAGAGTGAGTGGAGATACACCCTGCTGGTTTCACAGAGGCAGGCAGAGTGGTAGGTAGCCTTCCCCTGACCCTATGCCATCCCCATCTGGGCATGATGCCCTGGCTGCTGAGCCCTGGGCTCTTGGAGTATGCGCCACACCCTCACCTGTAGCTCAGGGCCCAAAGCGAAGGATTATAGGAAGATTGTGTTGAAGGTCATGAACTGAATGAAGTTCTTGGAAAACACCCAACCCATAGCCCCTAAACACCTACTTGATTTTGGTCTTATTTGAGTCAATTTCTGAGGTGATACTTCTAAGTCCTCTTTGTGTTTAGGGTCACACACGTATTCAAAATGAGAGAAAGAGAAAGGTCATTTGGAAAATCTCGCTCTGAAATATTATGACTTCATGTCATACCATAAAAACTTTACTTTGGATGTCTTTGCATTCCACGATGAAATCAATCAAAAGTGTCAATGCTCAAATAGTGGGTGTTGCTCTGCGGGCTGGTTTTTCTGGCAGAGCAGGCTGTCAGGAAGTCTGCAGTCAAAAGGAGTGCCAGCACCAAGCTTGCCTGGCTCACTCAGCCACGCTAAGAGTGGCAGGCCAGAGATTTCAGGCGTTGCTTCACTGACCCAGGTGCACATGGTGTCAAGATGGAGAAGTAGGTCCTCTTAGAAAAGTTAGAAATAAAATCACTTAGTCTAACAGAAGTATTGGTCCAGTCAAGTACATAGATGATCATACTATAAAAATGTCATGTTAAGCAGGCAAAATGTAGATGCTTTTTTGTTTCCCGTGAATTATGCATTCATTTAGTGTTTATATTGAAACCTTGGTAAAAATTCTATTTGGAAAAGTCACTAGGAACCTAATCCAAGGTTGAGACCCTTCTCCACTAAACATAAAAAATGCCAGTAAAACTTAACAAATTACGTTAAGAGCCATAGCTGAGCTCCGGAGAAAGAAGAGCCCCTATCCTCACAAATAAAGGAAGAACTCAAAGTTAAAGTAAGCGGTGGACAAGCTGGCTGGCTCCTTGTGGAGCTAACAGATTCCCTGGTGTAAGGACTAGGGCTTGAATGTCCATGAAAGAAGGAGCTCTATTGCTGGCATCATGCAAGCCAGAACATAAGAAATATACCCTCATTATGAACTGCATTCACGGACAGGGTACCCCCTCTACAAAATGACAAACAGAACACCCTCAATGGCCCGAGGAGTAACAGGATCAGAGGAGGAAAAAGACCCTCTGATGAAAAATAAAAGCTAACGCTTGCGATTCATACAGATGTGAGGGCATGGACTTACAGTACTTGTGTGAGGAGTCCTGTGTGTTGTAGGTAAGCACCTGGCACCTGTGGGAAAAGGTGTGGCAGTCTGCTTCCCTGAAGATTTTTAAAAACGAATTTTCATGGAGTCACATCTTTCTCCAGCTGGGTGACTCTAAAACCAAACAGCCATCGAGGCTCCTCTGACTCAGAGAGACCCTATAGGACGTGGTAGAACTACCCCGTGGGTTTCTGTGACTGCAACTCATTGTGAGTAGAAAGCCTCATCTTTCTCCCTCGGAGTTGCTGGTGGATTCGAACTGCTGCCCTTTTTGTTAGCAACCTCGTGTTTACTTACTATACTGAAGCCTTAGAAACTCTAGGGGGCAGTTCTACCCTACCCTAGAGGAATGTTTTGATGCTTATTTTTAATTCTTTTTGTAACACCATTATATCAAACTGAAAGATTAATGTGAAAACTGGTCTTCAGTAGATGAGAGCCCTGTAGTGATGGCAGAAACAAAATCACTTTAAAAAAATTCCACATATTTGGATCTTTATTGTCTGACTTATAAATTATTAGCAGGTCTAAAAAGAAATCATAATTAAGACTGTAAAGTAGCTGGAATTGTACAACTATGAAAATACTACATGACAAAATTAATGGTATATAGCTAAAGCATAATTAGAAGATAGTTTATAGACTTAAGCACATTCATACATGGGTAATTAAAGAAATACTGCTTTCAGGGTTGATGTGACAATAAGTGAAAAAGCATTGCTACTAGGGTTCCAGTTCATACATGTACGGGCGTAATCCAAAGAGGGCAGAAATCTTTGGAGAAAGATCCTAAGCTCCAAAGTCACTGCCCTCGAGTCAGTTCCGGCTGCAGAGACCCTGCAGGACAAGAAGCATGTCCCGGTGGGTTCCTGGACTGTAATTCCTCAAGGAAAGAAAGCCTTGTCTTTCTCCCTCAGATCAGCTGGTGGGCTTCCACCCCCGACGTTGTGGTTAATAGTTCAGCGCATAGCTCCCTGCACCCTCAGGACTCCTCAAGGAAGGATTCAGAGATGGAAAGACCAGCTTCTGAAGTGTATAAACCAACCTACAAGATAGGTTGAAAAACAACATTTTGGTATTTTTCTTTAATAAAGATGTTTATGATTTTGTAGCAATCCTTTTTTACTTACCCTCACAAGGGGTACTGACTTTTTATTTGGAGTGATGAAAAACTTTTGGAGAAAAATAGTATAGTGGTGATAGTTATATAGGCTGGTGAATGTAATTAATGTCACTCAATTGTACATTTAAAAACAATTACCAACAAAATTCCAATGCCATTTTTTTTTGCTATGTACAAACCTACATCTTCTCTTTTTCTATTAATCTCTTCAGAAACTAAGACTTGATAGGAAAGCCTTCTTAGGACAGGCAGTCTCCCATGGATCTTAAACACCCTTACATGGCCTTTCTGAGTCTGCCAAACTGCAAGGCCTGACCACACGGCAGAAGAGAGTCCAGCAGGTGAAGGCAATCATAGTATGACCGCAGCTCCTTCCGCAGCAGAGCAGGGTTGGGTTGTTTTTATTTGCTATAGAAGGTGCTGAGCACTGGGTTCCTCAGCTGTGACACCCGGGCTCACCACACCACACCGTGGGACGTGGGTCAGGGAATGGCCCTGCCATGCTGCCACTTGTGCTGTTTGCTGTGCTGTGAATCACAACCTGCCTTGGTCTGACAGTGAGTCTCACTATCTGCCTTCAGCATCTATGGAGCTGTGACTACTCTAGCTGCTTGCTGCGCATCCTTTAGAGTCTTATTACTTTTTGTGATTCTCAACAAGGTTGGAGTTCTTCCTTGACAAAGGGTATCTTCAAAAAACATACAGCAAGCATCATACAGTAATGAAATGTGAACAACAGTCTCTAAAACGAAGGGGGGAAAGGACAATGATGTGTTCTAACATTCTATCTATTCACCACTGAAATCAGAGTCCAAAAGATATGAAAAAGAAGTACTTTTATAGTCAGAGCATGTGAAAGAAAAAAAAAGGTTTTAGTCCTATTACCAAAAACAGGAACTAGAAGTACCAAGGCACATAGAAAATTAGTTGATGAACAAGGTCCTCAAAAATTATCGTATTTCTCCAAAAACATAAAGATCTAAGCAAATGAACAGCTATGTTATATTATGAATGA